CACGTCGCGGGATGAGGGTCCCCGGGCCAGGAGGAGTGCAGGGCCGGTTCCCAGTTAGCCGTTTAACGCCTCCGTGCTGCGGGCTTTAGGTGGACCGACTACGTCCCGCTGGGCAGGAGGATGCCAGGCACCCGCTTCATCGCCTTCAAGGTCCCCCTGAGGAAGGTAAGTGGCTGCTGACACCCTGGGCCTGTTGGGGGCGGGAAGCGGTTGCGGGAAGGTGTCGCTCTGTGGAGAATTGATGAGCGAATTCCTTCCAAAGAATGAGAAAAAGGGTCAGTAGATCGTGTTGGTGTTTATTTTGGGTGGGTGATAACCTGGGGGAGGCAGGAGCGCAGCGTGGCCACGGCTGTTTGAGCGCTCAGAGCGTGTGATGGGATCGCAGTGGTGTTGGTGCTGTGGGGGTGACCAGGGGTGACTCCTGGGGGTCAGCAGCAGCTTTCTGGGTGTTGGCAGGAGTGATGGTGTGGGCAGCCCCCACCACTGCTGCCAGGTGCCAGATGAACAGCCTGAAAAACACGGTGCCAGAGCCGAATTTTGGGAGCAGAGGCCGCGAGGAGCTGGTGGGGCAGCGCCGCTGCCCATCCGGCTGTGCCTGGAGGTCTCTGCTGCTGTGCTGGGGCGAGCTCTGCTCCAGAGTGATTTGAGCTCAACAGGTATACCTCAAACAATCGGTGTGTGTCATGTCCGTGGGGGTGGCAGAGCTTGTGATGGGGAGCAGTGCCGTTTGCTCACCTCCATTCGAGCTGCAAGCGTATTTTATAGCTTTCACCAAAGGACAACTTCAATTTTGGGATGTGTTTGTCGCGCTGCAGTGCTTTGCCCGGGCTCCAGTCGTCGGTCAGTCCTGGAATCCCTCATCTGAGCAGTCCCAAAGCAGTGAGGGCCTGAGTGCGTTCTGGTTGGGCTCAGCATAACTTGTGTGTCAGCCTCGTCCGCCTTTGCTCGTTGCCTGCGTCCTTCTCTTTGAAGGGGTGATCTTTGGGACGTTCTGCAGCGTGGACCTCTGCCCACCAGCCACAATGCCACCTGAGTTTAATATCTGCTCTAAAAACGTTATGTCCCCTCAGAGCTTTGATCAGAAGCTTCACCCAGAGGACAGATTTTCACCTCATGACCTCATCAAGAAAATCAAAGAGCAGAAGGAAGAGCTGGGCCTGATCATTGACCTGACGTACACGACTCGCTACTACAGGCCAGAGGTCAGTCTTGGTCTTGCTGTTGGGGAAATGACGCCCTGCGTGAGCCCTGGTGGTGCTGATGGAGTGGGAGGTGTTCCTTGCCAGGAGAGCGTGAGGCCCTCGGATCCTCCGGCAGGGGGATGAGGTGACGCGTTGGAGGCGCATCGGGATGGGGTCGTTGTCCTCCGTCAAGTACAGGCCTGGCGACTTCAACCCCCATCGTGCAGATCCTCTTTGTGCCAACCGGGGCAAGTTTTGGGATACCCTAAAGCTGTTGTTTATAGGCTCTCCTGAGCAAAGAGCTGATCACAACCAGCTTTGGCTTGTGATATCAAATGTGTGGATGATTGCTTGGGATGGTGTTCCAGCCTCTGTGCGTGCTTCCTCTTCCCCAGGGAGGGAAGAGCAAAGGCACAAGAAACACGAGGTGCAAACAGACTGCTCTGGGGTGTTGGTACTGCGTCAAGGGAGTGAAACGGAGGTTTTCTTACCTAAAACTGTGCTGCTGCTCTTCTGGGCTTGTTGAAAAGCTCATCATCTTGTGGCTTATGGTCCATGGTTCTCTAATGGGTAGGAATCCTTGTGCTTTATCTGGAAATTATTGACTTTCTTCCTTGTAGGAGCTCCCAGACACACTCTGCTACTCAAAGATCTTGACAATGGGACACGAAATACCGAACAGACAGACCATTTTTCAGTTCAAGTGCGTTGTCAAAAAGTTCTTGAGAGACAACAAAGACAACGGTAAGTGTGGGTTTCCCTTGTGTCGCTGCTGTTGGGCGCTAGAGACTCGGAGACCGGTGGTGTTTGAATGAAAAGCCTGAATTTCCGTTCGTTCTCTTGGCACGTGAGTGTCGATGGTTTGTTATGGTAAAGGAATTCCTGCTAAAAATGGTAATTAGCAGTGAGTCGGGTTTTAATTGAGTTTGAGACTCCCATCTCCAGACTGGCTGTAAATACCGATCGCTTCTTGGTAGCAGTGTAAGCAGCAAGGTGTCAGCGCTCGGGAAACGCGGGGCGGCTTTTTGTGGGGCTCAAATCCATCTTCCCTGCAGATGAGCTCATGGAATTACATGAGTTAACGAGCTGGCACTAATTACCCAGCAGCGTGGTGGTGTCGGGTGGTCGTTTCTGTTCCGTCAGAGGGCGAATGTGAAAGGGCTTGTTCTGGTGGGGTGTGGGAGGAGGAGCCCTTCGCTCTGACCCGGTGGTTGTGCGTTACAGACAAACTCATCGGCGTTCACTGCACGCACGGCTTGAACAGAACCGGCTACCTGGTGTGTAGGTGAGTGGTCCTCGGAGGCGGCGGTGCCAGCTCCTGGTTGCCCCAGGAGGAGGTAGGGTTGGGCCAGCGAAACACGAGTCGGGTGATCTCCATCGTCCCAGACTCGCAAGGATTTACAGCTTTTCAGCTTCAGGAGGGTTGTCGTTAGGGGGCACTTTTTGTGCCCAGTTTCAGCAGGCTAAACGCTGATGCTCCGTTCTGGCCTGTAAATAGAAGGTGTAAAAACTTCCCAGTTGCTCTTTTCTTGTTGAATCATCGCTAACCTGTCGCTGTTCCCGTGGTTCGCTGTGTAATGAGGGCTTTCTTGCTGATCTGTTCAGGTACCTGATTGACGTCGAAGGCATGGAGCCAAACGCTGCGATCGAGTGTACGTACGTGTCTGTTCTTGGTCAGATGTGAAGCGTTGGTCGTGGGCTGGCGGGTTTAGACGGCCAGAATCGATTGAAGGGTTGGCTGAAGGGGTTAAGGTCCTTCTAAAGGGTTTAAGTGCTCTGCAGCCCCAAGGGTGACCCGCGGTGGTGACTCAGACCTGTCTCTCTCCAGTGTTCAACAGGGCTCGAGGGCACCCTATAGAGAGAACCAACTATATCCAAGATCTTCGGAAGAGATCTGTGAAAAAGTAAGTGCTTTTGTGTGCGCGAGGGAGAGCTGCTGTCAGGCAAGAGATGTTTGACGTCAGTGGCTCCTAGGAAGGGGGTGGAAAGGGCCGGTGGGTGAGGAGGAAGGTGGGCAGTTGGGAGACTGGGGTTGAAGGATCTCCCCAGGCCTGCTGCCCACCATTTTTGGGGGAGCAGTGATGCGAAGGGGCGGGTTTAAGTGTAAAAGAGCTGCTGTGATCCCTCGGTGAATGGTTTGTGGGCACAGGTAAGACAGACGGGATTCTTTTTAAGGAGCTGCGGCCTGAGGAGTTTGGGCTCGGACCCCTTCAAAGAAAAAGCCAGCGCTACCCCAAACGCTAGAGAGAAGGTGGCCAAGCCCCATCCACATCTCTCGAACCAGTCCCCCTTGGCGGGGCCCAGGTAGGTGTTTGCTTCTTGCCTCTGCGCGTGCCGGGCAGCTGAGCCGGCGCCACCAAAAAGAGCTGCTTTTGTCTCTTGAAGAAACCTAAACGTGCACTTTGCCGAGCAGCAGCTCGCCCACGAGAGCGCCTGTTGCCTTGCCAGCTCTGCGGTGGGAGAGAAGAACCTCCCCAAAAGTTGTCTAGAGCAGAGCTCAGCGTTCGTTGTGCCGGCAGCGGCAGAGCTCGAACGCGCTCGTGCCCGTGGACGCGACTTCAGGTCCCGACTTCTGAATTGTTCTTCCAGAAACTCCAGCGGCTCCAAGAAGAACCGCAGGCAAGGCGCCAAGGCACCGACACGACACCAGGAGCTGGCGTACGAGCCCGGGGCAGCAGAGCAAAGGCGGCCGTGGAGTTGGGCGGCCAGGAACTGTCGGGCGGCCATGCCTGCCAACGAGCTGCGCAACGGACTTTGCTTTCCCCCCCGGACCCCCCACTTCTGCCCACCCCAGGAAGCGCAAGCGGCCAGAAAACGCCGCCGCCGGCACCGGAAACCTGTCGTGACAGCGTAGGGGACGTTGTGGGCAACAAAAACCCGTCCAGGGGCTGCGTCTTTACCCCGGAGGAGCTCCGAGATGGGTCTCTCGCCGCTTGAACGAGCAGCTTTTGCTGCAACTTCCACCAGCAGTCGGGAACTGCAAATGCAGGTGTTCTTAACCTTAACACAGCTCTTGGGTGGGTTTTAGTATTTTATTTTTGATTCCCCGCCCACTCCCCCTCTTGGTACTTTTACAAATCACACAGAAACTTTTTAATCCTCCGTTGTACCAGAGTCGTAGGGACGTGGAGAATAAATGTGGACCCGAACAGAGCTGGAATAATCCTCAGGAGCATTATCTTGCAACAAAAAGGGCTTTTCCTTGACTTCCTCAATACAAGAAATAGGATTCAGCCTGAAGCTATAGATGATTATATTTTTTTTGGCCTTTTCACCCACTTTTGCTAAAGTAAATTTCTGCCGTGTGTAAACCTGGACCCCTGGTGTGGAACGGTTCTTTCCCCCCGGATGGGCCCGGCAGGAATCGCCCGAGCGGGGGGGGTGGGCGGTGGGCTCTGGCCTCGCCACCGGACCGTTTTGGGACGAATAGGCGTGTTTTCGGGGTGGGAAGGGAGCCGTGCAGCCGCGAAGGGAGCTGCCCCTTTAAGGGGCTGGGCCGCGCTCTGACGTCATGACGCCCGGCTTTCCGCTCAAGGAAAGTAGGCGGCAGCTCGACCGGGCGGAAGTGGGGAGGGCAACGGCATGCCCGGATGTTGCAGAGGCTCTTGATTGGCTGCTGCAAGAGAGGCGGGGCGGTGCAGTGGGCGTTTCGACAACAACCCGGAAGCGCTGAGGGGAGGAGGAGGCTGGCGGCGCCCTCCCGG